ATATATCCATTTTAAATGCTATCCAATGAAATTTAACGATATTTTTGGTTAACATTGGCGCGTAAGGGCATAATTAAAGACTCTTTTCCTCCCAAAGAATTACAAAACTGCTTTAAAATTAATTCTGAAGAGAATATTTCGTGGCGTCTGTACGTACGTACGTATCTTCCATAACTCAAAACGAGTAGCCTCAAAACGTTGAAATTTTATATATAGAACTTCTAGATGTGCATCTCATATTTTGGTTGCAATCGGCCGCACCAAACGTATGTAAATATGTTTATACATATATCCACTCTGTTACCCGGTTCACTCATCTCAGTTTCTTTACTCTTGTATGTTCGTCAATTGTGCATTTTTTGCTTTAAAAAGAGATTCAATTATGTTGTTCTTATCTTCCGGTTAAGGTTTTTATGCCTTTAGTAAATCTGTCTGCAATACTTTTAGAATTGTCAACAATTTTAAAGTTGTTTAAGTGCCGCTAAGCCTAATTTTTTTGATGGCGGACCATTGTTGTTTACATTTGAAACAGCAGGAGTAGCGGATTTGTTGCCAATCTAGAGAACTTAGCTTCGCAACAACAAAGATAACGCCTTCATTTATTATTGCGAATAAAATCATGCTTAATCCTTTCTGGAAAATTTTTTCGAGGAAATAAGTGTTTTAAGATTTACTTCGTAATTTTTAATATAGATATTTTGAGTTTTTATGTATTTTTGCCTTCTCGCGAAGTGAGAACTGAATTAATTGAATGAGAAATACTCAATCGTCTGTGAAAAACTGTTTCTTTTTTGTTTTGTTTGCTTAATTTCTTTTATACATCGTTCTAGCTTTATTATAGTATTTGAATAGAACATGTGGCAACGATTAGATAATTCTTTAAATGATATAAATTTTGTGCATTCTGAGTTATAATATGAACGAAATATAATACTGTTAAGTGAACCTAGCGCCAGAGTGTCGCTATGGTAAACAAATACAGTGAATTTTAAAGAATGCATTTATTCTATTGTGGTTTATGCGCTGTCGGCGAAGTAGATTTAATTCAATCCAATAAGTTTAAATGAAATGCAAGAAAAAATGCGTATAATTTAATATTCCGTACAAGGAAGTCATGTGGTGTACACATCAGATTTTTTTATACTTTATTTGGGTTTAAAAACTCAAGTAAACATGACGTTTCAGAATGATGAGCGGACACTGTTTTGCTGTCTCTCACAGAGCTAAAATTACCAGATCTTTTTTTATATATGGTCTAATCTTACGAGGCGCCCATCAGCGGCCGATTAGTAAAGTCGTTGAGCACTGGTAATTTGGTATGGGTTTGGAATCTCGGCAAACGGGCTGGGCTGCATGAGCTTTTACGTGTTTTTCTCCATTTGTAAGGTGTAAACCAGCCACTTTCCCTTATAGAGCCCTCCACGAAGGCATCTCTCCTCTTAAACAGATAGCCCTCGAGCGCTTTGCCATAATCAAATAAGCCAAATCTATTGTTATGAGATTTTCAGTGATTTGACTGACTGACTGACCATTTCAATATCGAGTTTAAGAAATCTTAAATGGTAACTGATGAACACATATTGCCATTGCGGCGAATTTCATCAGGAACATGAAGTCTTTTAAATTCATGATTTTTATTATTTATTCTATGTTGTAAGCGATGACACTGTCAAGTCAGTCTTCGTCAGTATCATACTTAAACATTTTCAATGGATGTATGAACGCAGAAGTTATTTACTATTGTCTTAGTTATCATTCAGTTTCTTACATCAGTGTAAAACTCTAAGTATTGAACAGCATACAGTTTTAATTATTTTAAAATCTGATTTTCTTTTGCCACATCGTTTGCTAATTAGTGGTACACAGATAATATATTTTTCAAGGACTTTATACAGTTAAGTAAAATAATTACTTTTCCTTCTCCGCAACAAAGCCATATTAATATATATCTGTCATATGTATTGCAGTTTTAATATCAATTTTGTAAGCAGATCTATTCTTAATAAAATTTTAAAATATTTAACAGCACAGGAGAATAATTTCTAACCTCGAAACATTTTATTTCAAATCTGTGTTCGCATTCCCTGCTCAATCGAACATTGTCTTCTTTGGTGAATCATGCGAGACTGGTTATGTTGCCATTGTGCGAATCCTGAAGCAAAATATTTATCGATTTTCCCACCAAGCAGCCAGCTTTCGACCCTCAGGATATCGGTTACTAATTCTGAGGTGTCGCTAGGTGGATAATGTTGAAATTACACGCCATCTGTCTCGTTGAAAGATTTCGAACGTCTACCAATTCTCTGTCGGGATTTATTAGATTTCTCATAAATTCCAATCGATTCGAGGACACAGGGAATTCAGGAAAGGACAAAGTCATGTCTTTGCCACTGTTATCGTCTTTGCTAGTGTTATATATCTCATATTCTCGAGGAATAAAGTGTCTTCTATCGGTAAGTAGAAAGAATAGCGCTGTTATTTATAGAATGACACTCACTCGATTTGATACCACATGTAATGAGCGGATGTGTTTCACCTATAACATTACGCTTCAGAATATTACCGTTTAAACCTAGATTAAGAATACCTAGATAGAATTTATAGTATATCGTGTCAGTGTGGTTTAAGATATATTGGCCAAACAAAAAGAGCGTTGAAGTTTCGTATCAAGGAAGAGGAATCATATGTCAGAAAAGGCGAAATTAACAAGTCTTCAATAGCGTATTATAGTTGGACATTTAACCATAATTTTGACTTTGGGTCCGCAAAAATTATCCAAAAGGCTTCTTTCATAGGTGAATTGGATTTTCTTGAGGCTTCTCACATTCACAAAGATTTAGCAGGTTTATTTTGTTAATGATTTGAAGTCCAATCCAGCCTTTCCTAATGCCTTTAAAATTCTATCTTAATTCGTTATTTTTGCGATAGATGGCGTTACCTCCTCGCGTTTGGTACTACCGAGGGATAAAAATCCGTTCAGTGGTTGCTTTCCATTATTTGAAGTTCAGATTTTTGAGCGTGAAGGTGCATTTGCCCTCGCTCCCTATTTTAACTTCGCTAATTTTTCTTGTCCTTTATGCTTATCAGATAGCCTGGCCGGCTCAGTAAAAGTAGGCGGCCAGTGCAACTCTGATTTAAAATTCCAGTTATAACCATGTGCAGTGCTGATAAGGACCACGTGTTTCTGAGACTCCTTCTCCTTTATTTTCTTCCTTCCAGGTATTTCTTTCTTCTGATGAGGAGGGACCTTTAGCTGCCCTCGAAATCGATTGAGTGTTTCATTTTACTTACGCTAAATACAAGGTTGTTTTTACGATTTTGATTGTCACATTAGCGTGTTTCTCTTCTATTCTAGTCTAGGAATACTTGCTCAGTATTGATGAACAGAGCTCATTTGTCGGCTTGGTGGTACGACAGCCGGGAGCCATTGCTCCATTGAGTTTGAATCAAGAAGAAAGTATGGACATGTGCTTGTATATCTTCGAGTGGATTCCTCTCGCCTTTCAAAAGATGCTCATGAGTCAGGCGACATTGACCAATTCTCAGACGATTTAAGAGTACTTCTTACCTCCTATTTAGCATACACATTTGCTTGTGTCTTCTCGATTATTGCGTCAATTTGCCCTTGTAGTGCGGGCAGATCCTTCTAGATCACGGGCAACATTCATGGTGATGTTTCGGTTTATTTGGGTTATGCAAAACGCGCTCGAGCTATCTGCCTAAGGAGAGGGATGCATTCGTGGAAGACCTTCTAAGAGAAACTGGCTCATATTCCATTATACACATGGGAAAAACACGAAAATTTCTATACAGCCTGTAATTTAACCCGAGTCAAATTACCTCTGTCCAGTGATCTTTACGACTCCTCTGCCGGTTTGCCGTTCTTGGAAATACTACAGCTAAGTGACCCATGGTTTCGGCAATTTCCGAAAAATGCTTCTAAGTGTCTGCCATTTAAAACGAAAATAACTGGGAATACTCTCACCAAGCCCAGATTTCCAAGCCAAGCCCAGATTTCAGAGATGTCAGTTTACGGGATTTCGCAAGTCAAATTTGTTAGGTTCTTGTAAGACGAAATTTTGATATATGTATCGAAAAAACATCTTAAGGGGAGGGATGCCTTCGTGGAGGACTTTCTAAGAGAAACTGCCTCTTGTACACGTTACACATAAGGAAAACCACACAAATGCCCATACAGCCAGCCCGGTCGACTGGACTCGAAGTAAGAACTACCAGTGTTCAGCGACTTTTACCGCTTGTGAGATGAACTGCAGATTGGAAACCTAACATTTGGAAAATATATTTTAACGTGTTAAATATGAACAGATTTGAAGATAATTTTTAATCTGATAGAAAGTGGGGGCCCACCAGCGGCCGAGCGGTAAAGTCGCTGAACACTGGTAGTTCGGGCCGAGGTTCGAATCCCGCGAACGGGCTGGCTGCATGGGAGTTTTGTTTTTGCCCCATGTGTAACGTGTATACGAGCCAGTTTCCCTTAGAAAGTCCTCCACGAAGGCATCTCCCCTTTAGGCAGGTAGCCCTCGAGGCTTTGACATAATTAAATAACCTAACCTAACCTAACCTGATAGAAAGTTCATGTTCAATGCGTTGTAGGAAGTTTTCGGTATATTACTTGATCGCATTATTAGGTTTTAGATATGCTGAATCTAATATTTTAAGAATGAAAATATTTAAAGCGTAAACTTTACGAGCTTATGCAATGCAAAACTTTGTACTTTCTAGTGCAGAAAACATACGTGGATGTCAGAATTTACTCAATTTCCGGAGAAGAATGCGAAAAGAAACTATAAATTATGCAATCTTTTTGCGAATTGGGCCTTTTTCCAAAACAAAAACTCTGGTTTCTTCGAGTTTTGATACATGGCCAGTTGTAGCTTTCTTCTTCATTTCAAGTTTATTTCTGTTCCTGTGTTGTAACATAATAACAATTGCGAATCTGATCTGCCATTCTTTGATGTTTATAATATTATTTATTTCAGAGCTTGTCTTTGCTGACGGTGCCATTTCTTCCTGCAAGCAATTTGTTTTTCCCAGTGGGTTTCGTAGTGGCAGAAAGAGTTTTGTATATCCCCAGCATGGGTTTCTGCATGATAGTTGCGCAAGGATGGAATATACTCTGGGAGAAGAGGTGAGTTAGCTATAAAATTAGATATATTAATGTTTACTACTTCTTTTAAAATTTTGGTTGGAATTTTCATAATATTAATGTAATAATTTAGCACAAATTTATGATCTCATCGTTATAATTTAGCATTAGGCGTTATGGTTTTTAAGTTTTAAATTAGATAAGAAAGGCAACCATTTACTGGCATAGATTTTAAATAAAATTGTATTGATTTCGATGGAATTTTATTCAAATCACTTACTCTTTTTCTGAAGGAGAAAAATGTTTGTTCCTGATGAAGAGAGAAATTATGTCTGATTGCTTTTAAAATCGGTCGTTTTATTCAGACAAAACTCTGAAGAAGAGTGCCCTATATTAAATACCCTCAAAACTGATAGTGTTTATTAACGGTATTTTTAATTATTAACAGCATATATCAACGAAAATATCCATTTTGACCGTTTTCGAATGCAATTTAACGATGTATTTGCGTGATATCTGTACGTAAGGACAGAATAAAAGACTCTTTTCCTCCAAAAAAAATTACAAAACTGCTTTAAAATGAATTCTGAAAAGAATTTTTCTTGGCGTCTGTACGAACGTATGTACGTACGTACGTACGTATCTCGCATATCTCAAAACCGAATGGCCTCAGAACGTTGAAATTTTGTATATAGGACTACTATAACATGTAGATGTGCACCTCGTATTTCGGTTGCAATCGGCCGCGCCAAACGTATATAAATATATTTATGTATATATCCACTCTGCTACCCGGGTCAGTGATCTCAGTTTCTTTATTCTTATATGTTTGTAAATTGTACATTTTTTCGGCTTAAAAATGATTGAATTATATTGTTCTTATCTTTCGGTTGAGGTTTTTATGCCTTTAGTAAATCTGTATGCAATATTTTTAAAATTATCAACAATTTTAAAATGTTTAAGTGCCGCTAAGCCTAATGTGTTTTGATGGGGGCCATTGCTCTTGTTTACATTTGAAACATTGAAACAGGATAGCCATTAGTTTGAATCTTTAGCTTCGCAAACAACAAGATAACGCCTCATTATTATTTAAATCATGTTTAATCTTTTCTGGAATTTTTTCGAGGAATAAAACCTTCGAGGAAATAACCGAAGTAAATCTTAAAACCTTATTCGAGGAAATAAGTTAAGATTTACTTCGTAATTTTTAATAGAGATATTTTTGAGTTTTTATGTCCTTCTCGCGAAGGGAGCGAAATGAATTAATGAGAAAAAACTCAATCGTCTGGAAAAAGTGTCTGTTTTGTTTTGTTGGTTTTGGTGCTTAATTTCTTTTATACATCGTTTAGCTTTATTACAGTTATCTGAGAACTGTGGCAAACTAGAAATTCGAGATAAATTTTGTGCATTCTGAGTTATAATATGAGAATATAATACTGTTAAGTGAACTAGCGCCCATTTAGTATTAGGGGTAAAAGTAGAGTGAATTTAAAGAATGCTTGTTTATTCTATTGTGGTTTAGTTTAACAAGTAGGTTTAGTAGGTTTAATTTAATCCCATAAGTTTTAAACGAAGTGTCGACGAAGTAGATTTAATTCAATCCAATAAGTTTAAACGAACAAGAAAAAATGCGCATATATTTAATATTCAAATGCGCATAATTTAATATTCCGTACAAGGAAGTCATGTGGTGTACACGCTAGATTTTTTTTTACCTTTAGGAAGAGGGCTCTATGAATGATCGCCCTAAAATCCATATAATTTTATTCATGCAAAATATTTTTGCCTTCGTCTATTGCCTCGAAAGTGACTGATAACCGTCATAGTCACAAATTCACTAGAATGTTACTTAAACTTCGGTGTCAGTTTGCCTAGTGGGATCGAAAGTAAACTTTAAATTTTTACACCGAAATCTTTGTCTTCCTGCCCTCTGGCCGTATTGCTTGGTTTTGCATAGAAACTGTAATTGTAAAAATTGCTTTAACTGTTTTTAACCGTATTTGGTGATTTATGTTTTTCTGTGTTTTACAATTTTTAATGAATATGTTTTGAGTTTTTATGTATTTTTCCCTTGTCGCGATGGGAGAACTGAATTGACAGAATAAGATGTATGTCTTTAATGAAATTCCAAGAAATATGTTTTAAGTGAAATGCTGAAAAAAAATAAGTATATAATTTATAGGCCACGCAAGCAAGACCTGCGGTGGCAACGACAGATACAAAGGCTGTTCGCATATTTTTTGACAACTTCTAATTTGCATTTAATATGATTCTAAAAACTCATTTTGGTAAGGAATTGTAAGCTGAAGCTAGGAGAGACAGGAAAGTGGTATAAACTTAAAATAAGTCTTATAAAATTAGGATACACCTTACAATATCATCTGCGGATTTTTGCGCTTTTAGACCTTTAAAGAGCGGATTGTCCTTTGACTACAACCGTCCTTTGACTTTGGAAATCTGTTCAATACCTCTTTTGTTATTAAAAAAAAGCTTTCTTGTCTTGGAAAATAAAATAAAATAAATTTGTTTACATTTGAAACTTAGCAGAATAGTGAGTTAAGTTGGATTCTGCAGCTTTAGTATTTTTTTGCCGAGTGAGACCAAAAGAAACTTTCAGTTTTGTGCACCGAAAAATCTGCCTTCTTGCCCGCTGGCCGAATTGCTTGTTTTTGTGTAGAAACTCTAATTTTTAATTGTAACTTTTTAATTGTTTTAACATTATTGGGTCTTTTATGTTTTTCGAAATTTTTTCAATATTTAATGAAGATATTTTGAGTTTTTATGTGTTCTTGCCTTGCCGCGAAGCGAGAACTGTATTAACTGAATGAGAAAATATATCGAATTAAATTCGATAAAATATGTTTAAATGAAATGCAAGGAAAAGTGTGTATAATTTAGTAGGCTATATAAAGATGTCATGTAGTGGCCACATCAGATATCTTTAAATTTAGTCAACGGTAGTGTTATTATTACTTTTAAAACGTATTGCAGACTACGGTAAGCCTATATTCTCTAGTATAGAGCTATTGAATATTCGTATGTTACTGAGAGACGAAACCTTCGTACTTCAAGAGCTAGAGTCATGTGTAAGATGATAAGAAATGTCATTCATTAGCAAACGAATAGCTAGAAATGCATCAGAAAGCCAGTATGGAATCAGATCTAATTCAACACGACGTTAATACCCGCTTATCAACCAATACCTGATAGCAACTGAATTCAACAGCTATTAGTGTTAGAGTAAACTAATTATCGTTGGGAGGTTACAGTTGGCTTCTTCCTCTAGGTAACTATTGCATAATCCCCGGCTTTAGATTCCGTTCACTACTAACGTGATATCAGTGCATAAACCTAACTTATTGTCACTAACGAGTTGAAATTTCACTGTAGTACTACTCATTTACAGTCACTTATTATCCATCTTTAAATAATTAATTACTATTTACATCTTAAAGTTGATGTAATACACGTTACTTGCCTTGTAGGTGGTAAATAAACTGATATTTTGCAGTGTCTGTAAGCATGTTAAATCTAGATTTGCTTTTATATGACTTCAACCTAAATCTAGCTCAAAATTGTTGATTTCAGTTTGCAAATACCGAAATGATAAATAGTTTCCCATTTATCATTTCTGTATTCGTAAAACGTTTGATGTCTGTTGTGCTAGGAATTTTCGTTGTTTTCCTGACTTCGTGCCTTTGTGGTGTAACTGACAGCTCATTCGGTTAGCAATCAAAAGATCCAGATTCTGAATTCTGGAGAGCACATATCTCCATTTTTCACATTTGTTTCTTCAAAAGCTAATAAACTGTAAATTGTGTACACATTATTTGAATCGTGTGATCCTATAAATCAGCATTGGTCTTGTGGCTTATTCTACCTGATCGACAGTAACATCAGATCAGGTCCGTGAACCCATGGACTTCGGAACCCCGAAGAACGACTCTAAGACAGGACAGAAGTTGGCTCTGCTGACAATCTGGGCAAGACAAGATATGGGCTGAGCGGCTTGTGTCGAACTTAGTCTCAGGCATAAGGGATAGACTTTAATTATCGTCACAAAAAGATAGAACAGGCAGATACCAGTGTGCAACCTAGTTAGAGCCCTTTATTCAGATCTATTTCTTACCTCAGTTAGGGCAGCGTCAGAATATTTACCAATATACCACTCTCGTATGAAGCCTTTCTCCAGGAAGAGTTCATTTCTATCTTGTGCCGCGAGGCAACTTCCGAAAAAGAAAGACGGTCACCATCAGGACAATTATACCCTTCCTGACCAGTCCATCTACTATTTCATTACCACAAATCTCCATATGGGAAGTCACCCATTGAAAAAATATATCATTATGGGCACACAAGTAACCCAAAATACTGGACAGTATTCACGGTGGTTCTGTCTCCAAGTTTCCACCACTCAACCAAGTGTTTTATACAGCTCTGGCTACCGCTGGCAATTCAGATGACAGTATTGACTCCCTTGTTGACGCAGTAACTCAAGGTCTCCTTAACAGCAATGAGTTCTGCCCGATAAACAGAGCAGTTGTTAGGTTTTCTCCTATAAAAGAATCTTCATGAGATCAGCGATTTTTACTTTCATGTAGTACTTCGTAATTACAGAGTACCTGTAACCTGTGATACCCCCTCACCACCCTTCAGTTTTCTAGCAAAATAACTCAATTATGATAAATAATTTATTAAGTATTTAATAATTAATTTAATAATATCATTAATTATAAGTAATTTATTAATTAGAATGAGTGTTAGTACTAGTGGTTATAATTAATTTATTTTATTAATAGCATTTTAATTGTTAATCAATTTTATGGCAAATTTTGAATACCATAAAGTTAATAATCTGCAGTTGTAGTCATTAGGTTATACCGATGCTGGAATGTCAAAAAATAAACAGTGCCCTCGCCAGGATTCGGACTCCGGACCTCCCGAATGCGCATCGAGCGTGCTTCCAGTTATAGTAAGAAGGCATACGGAAAAAATCTGATGTGTACACCACATGACTTCCTTGTACGGAATATTAAATTATA